TAAATTCTACCTGGCGGATGTAAATTCAACCTGGCGAATGTAGATTCTAACCTGGCGAATGTAAATTCCAACCTGGCGAAGATATAAATTCAACCTACAGAGTGTAAATTCTAACCTGGCGAATGTAAATTCTAACCTGGCGAATGTTAGTTCAACCTGGCGAATGTTAATTCCAAAAGTAAGGAATGTAGGGAAACTAATTCGTAAGTGTAACTTGTGAGCTTTTAGGTTACTGTGTGGCCTTGGAATTGATATTTCTTTTTAAATAGGTTTTTGCATTTTCTGCAAATTTGCCAGAACAACAATCCGCGCGTGCGGGCGCGTTGCGGTTATACAAAGTTTTGTTTTTCAATCTTTCTATGAAATTTTCGAGATAAATCGTCATTTATAGCAAAACCAGTGGAAAAAGCCCGCTTCGCGGCCCTTTCCCACTGGACCCCCGATTCAGGAACGATGAATTCGAATACCTGCTTCTTTTAGCGCAAGAGCCTGAGTCAAGGAGCCATTCTTTGACCTGCGGCCTCAGAGGCGAGACCAAGGTTCTTTCCTTTCGCCTGCGGCGCTGGAAGCGGAAACCAGGCCCTAACAAAGGGAACCACCTAAGGTCGAGGTGGCGTTTCGTTATGGGATTCAGCCCATTTTGTGCAGAATTTTTGCTGATTCGAACCCGCTTTCAATTTTTGCCAAATAGCCCGATTTAAAGTTACGGCGATTTTAAGATCATATTTTAGCCCGCGGGCGATCATCTGTCACGATGCTCAACTTTTTGTTTTAATATGCCAATCCATTTTAAATAGCCTATCTTTTGTAGAAATTTTTTCTGATTCGAATGGTATATTTCATTACTGCGCTACTGCCTATCGATAATCACTTATGGGAGTGTGAAATAGCCTGCTTTTCACCATTTTCCCATACAAAAAGCGAAGTTCATACCAAGTATCGTCCCGATTTTCGATTTCAAGCAATTTTGAGTTAAATAGCTCATTCGATAGAAAAATTTTCTGAATACGATGGCGATATTCGTTTTTGATGAATCTAATCGGAGAAGTGCCAAAATAAATGGCTTTGAAGTTGACAAATTTGGGAAAAATGGAACTTTGAAGCGCTATATCTTTTAAAACGAGTTATTTGGCAAAAGAGCAGCGGATTCGGAATCAGCAAAAATTCTACACAAAATGGGCTGGGTCCCATAACGAAACGCCACCTCGACTTTGGAATTGGTTCCCTTGTAAGCCTCGCGCTAGAATCTTTTTGCCTGTGGCGCTAGTTACTGGTTTTCTCCCGGATTTGGACTGCGGCGCAGAGCCTAGATCGAGGACCCATCATTGGCCTGCGCGGCGAGAGCCTGGGCCAAGGACCTTTCATTGGCCTGCGGCGCTGGAGCGAGGGTCAGGTCTAAACTTCGCACACCGAGGAGCCTAGAAATATGTTTTGTTGTTACACTACCAAAAGCAAGACTTAAATGCTCTCAGGATCCGAACTCACGACCATGCGCATGGTAGACCGGGCGGAAATCCCCTACACCATGGGACGGCTGGGGAACGGGCGGCGGGAAGGCCCTCTTCTGTTCTGGGGACAGGCAGGGGGGGAAGGAAAGAAAGTTACGACCCAATGGTCCCGGAGGTAACTTTACAAAATTCGGTTTTCTAGTCTGGATCAGCTGAAATTTTGCAGACATAATAAATGCTTGGGATCCCCACCATCGAATACATAAGTGGTCCAAATTCCAGCCCGAAATTCCATCGGAGCTTCGAGTTATGGCCCGGACACCACGGCCCTTGGCTCACTTTATTAAAGCGCACGTTCAGGCACGTTGAACGTATACTTCCTATTGACACCTGCGTCTCCCTCTTTTCCCAGTCCCTCGGCGTCAATAGGAAGTATACGTTCACCATAAATATACGTCCCTGAACGTGCGCTTTAAGGACGTTTTAGAAAAATGCTCATAAAAACTTTATATTACAAAATCTGACAAAACGCAAAATTATATATCAGGAGAATTCCCTTCCCTTTTCAATCTACCCTCTAAAAATTAGCGCCCAATTCCATTTGGATCGGGAGATATCCTCTGTACAAACCTTTTTTTGGCCACAATGTTAAGGGTTTTACACTATTTTTCTTGTAAAATCGTTAAATGAAGGAATTTCGAAAAACAAAAAAAAATGCCTATAAAGAGGATGTGTTTCTCCGCCTTCATGCCAAAAATTAGCGCGAAATTCGGCCTGACGGCCGAGAAATCGTCATTACAGAAAACGTAGCTCCGCGTAGCGATTTCCCAGCCGTGCCTTTTGGTTAGGGAATCGAACTGCGTGTGCCCCTAATTACCCCATTCCAGCTGGGCGGCTGCTGACGACTACCCCCTGAGCGGTATATTTCTGTGGTTTGACGATTTTGGCACGCCACTACTGTCTTCAATCTCACTCTTCTTGTACATTATCATTTTCCGCCATGTCGTCGTCAATGTGAGGAATTTTTAAAGGAATTGGAGCGAAAAGTCTGGGTTTCTAGCCATGATGCTTACCCATATTTCAGAAAAAACTCGACCGCATGAATGACGTTCGGTGGGCGCTACAGGTAAGCGCTTTTGGGGGTTTAACATTTCCGTCGCAGGAAAACCCGATTTAAAAAATATAAATAGTAGAAGAGCTTTAAAAAAAGTTGTAAAAAGAGTAAAATAGTAGTATTAAAAAGTTAAAAAAATTTCTCTAAGCCTAAAAGGAGTGGAAAAGCGGAAAAAGTTTCTTTGATTTTGCTTAAAGATACTAGAATATCGATTTTAGAACAATATGTAAGTTTTGTGAATTTGTTTATATGTTTTATAAACGTTTTTCGAGACGCAATACAAAAAATTTTGTCAAAATGCTGATTATTAAGTAGTAATAGAACTTTACAATTCAGATTTCCTATCCCCTTGATCGTAATATTAAAGTGCCGCCCTTTTCTATGATCTATTAATTCTTTCTCTAGACGTTCTGCTTTTGCCTGTTCTCGATCGGCGTCTCAATCGAGTGGACATGGGCCTACGACTGTTTCCCGCCGACATTCATCTCTTTGTACGTCCAGAATGCGTTGTGGCCCCTATGGAATGGGGCGAATGTCGTCTGTTTCTTCGCGTTTCAGAGGTGTATTTTGGTGCCCAATGGAGAGTATCCGGATTTTAGAGACCCATGGGATCGGAAGAAGAGCTTTTCGATGGTGGTGAAAGCGGCCGCGAATTTGCAGAGACCGTCACTGGTTAGCCCGTTGTTTTGTTGACGTCAAAATTGGCCAGCCGGGCATCGATTTGAGATTTTTGGTTTTAAAATAAAAATTATTTATTTGTATGCCTTTTAATTTGTATATAGTTAATAAATATTTCTCTATTTCACTTTCTCTCCCTCACTCTCTCGCTCGCTTTCTCTCTCTCCTTCACTCTCTGTTCACTCTCTCTCGCACTCTCTCGCTCTCTCTCTCGCTCCATCGCGCTCACTCTCTCTCAGCCACTATCTGTCTCTCTCTCGCTCAATTTTTTGACAGTATAGTAAACGCATATCCACTTTATTGAGCACTAGTAATAGGCAATGGCAGGAAAAATGATCAAAAAATTTTTATTTATGCAATTTCTTCTACAAAATCTATGCCAAAGTTCGGGATTAACAGCAATATTGCCCGGCCGACACGTCGTCCCGCCACCGCATTTCCCGTTCCGACACGCTCCAAATGGCATGACATGGCCCGGGCAGTGGGCACAGCAGAATCCCGTCTCGAGGTGGCACGTGTAGCCGCCGGGGCACGATCCCTGAAACGCAAATTATGATGTAAAATTGGATATCAATTTTTTTGATCGCCCATTAATGGATATATCAAGTTGTTGGATATCATTGAATCGGTATAATCATACTATTTTCCTATCTTTAGAAAGAAAATGGGTTTTCAGCCTGGCATACGCGGAATTCGCTGCAAAATTCGTTGAAAAACCACACTCTATTTTCCGCCACGTTAAGTACGAAACACGGTCACTTACATTCGGCCCGCATTTGCCGGGGGAAATTCCGACCGGGCATTCACAGCAGTAATTAGAAGACGTGCACGACTCCCCGGCTGGGCAAGTGCCAGCCGTGCACGAGCCCAGGGCAGCTTCGCCCCCGCAAGCGTCTGAAAACGGATGTTATGGAAGTTTTGATGGGGCTAAATTATAGGGTTTTCTAGAAAACAGCAGATATACATACGTTTATATTCATTTCCGGTAGAGGTGCAGCACAATCCGTTGATACACGTCTGACCCGGAGCGCATTGCCCTGGCTCGTTGCATCGCACTTCCGAGAGTTGACCGTGGTAGCAGACGCCTGAATGAGGAGGGATATGAGAGAGCGAGGGAGAGTGAGAGCGTGTGGAAGAGAAAGAGAGAGAGAGAGAGCGAGAAACAGAGAGACGGATTTATCGAAAACACCAACCGAATCTGTGCCCGGGTACTGGTGGGAGCGGCGGAGGCAACGGTGGTTCCGGCACGGTGCAGCAACAACTCTTAAAGCCCCCTGTATTTAGTCACCCTCCCTTAAACGGACCTGTATACACTGGGAGATTCCGGTGTGATACGGTGTACAGTCAACTGACGAGCGACACCCGACCCCGATCAGTCGACCGCCATTCTGGCATTTTGGAGCGGTCGGGGTGCAGGCTAAAACGTTGCGTTCAGGAAATCGGGCAGAAATCGGAAATCAGAAATCGCGGCAGCCAACTTCAAACAATAAAAACCATACTAAATTATAAAAGTAAGGTGGATAATATAAAGCCATAGTCGGAAATTGTATAATTTAATTCTCACTTTTAACACTTCAAATTCATATAATTATCTAATTTTAGTTAGTGCACGCATTCCCTATAAAAAACTCACGCTTAACGGAGTAGTACTGGGTTGGCGGTGAGCCGCAAAGATAGTAAAACGTCTGCCGCTTCACCCGCACCAACGCCGAGTCGTTCATGAAATGCGGCACATTGTCGGCGCCACACGAAATTTGGATAAAGGCACTAAAATTACGTTAATTTCTAAATTATGGTTTAATTGGGGTCTAAAATTTGCCTTGGAATTTTTCAGACCTGAACAGTATACAGCCAAGCAACAGGAACATGGTCTACGAATTCGTATTAGGACAATGGATAGCTCGAGGGCCAGGCTGTATTTATAGATAAATCGGAACCCCCGGGGCGAGAGAGAGAGAGAGAGAGGGAGGGAGAGCAGAGAGAGAGATTCCGGACCATATTTGGGCAGCCGCACCCTTGTATATTCTCTTTTTGGTGCCCCCTTCATCCCCTTTATTCCCTGATTCATCACCCGAACCCCGGGCCCCCCAACACAAATGATGCCATTTTTGTTGCGATCTATTTGTTTGAGCTTTGCCTGTTGATACTCTATCTTTTTATTGTTTGCGTTGGCGCCGGATTCCGAGTAGATGCTTTGTGAAGAAGAGAGAAGCCGAATTAGCCCATGAATTCGTCATTTTTAATGGTATTTTTAGCATCTTGAAAAATTTTGAAAAGGTTGAACTCGTCAGAACTTTCAAACATCGTAGTATGTTACGCAATGAATAGTTGCCAGAGGGCGGATTTCGCTTTAAAAGGGGCAGCAATGAAAATCCGAATCTGAAAATTTCGGGTTTCTGCTGAGTTTCGATCGTCCGTTACCTCGACGCTTGCTTACCGCTGACGTCAGACCGGTTTTAAAAATACTATATTGAGGAAAAATGGAAATTTTAGGAAAAAGAACTCGAATTTCGGGGTTTTGGATGTCGGCATTTTGAGGGTCGGTATTTTGGTGTTTGGGTTTTTGAATGTCGGTATTTTGGGCGTTCCTGGGTGAGGCCGTCGGGATTACGGATTTCAGGGTTTTGGCTATCGGTTTTTGAGGGTTAAACCTCATTCGGGGTTTTGGAATTCAGTGTCTTGGATGTCGATATTTTTAGCGTTCGGTTTGTTACTTATTCTCAGTTAATTTAGAAATTCCGACATCTGAACCAAATCCTATAGACGCTCCGAGATAGCGATAGGTGTTTGCCCTCTCCCCCTCGGGTTCTTTTTGCCACTGCGGGGGTTGAGCAACAGAGAGGGGCGTGAGGTGGAGGAGGAGGAGCAACAAGGGGCCACAATCCATCCATCCATCGAACCTCTTGCTCCCCTGCTCTACCTCCTCCTCTTCCTCTTTTCCACCACAGCTCCATTACACCGTCTTCATGCTCGGCTTTATCCCTTCTCAACGGCTCTTCCCGCCACGGAAACCCCACAGGGGCCCCTCTACTCTTTTTTTGGGTGATCCCCCGGTGGATCCCGGTAGACGGGGTCGATTGATTATCGATTGATTTGGTTATACTCTGAATTTTCATATATCGTCTTGGTTCTATCATTCTTTATCTATTTTTGCATCTTTTCGGGCCCTCAAATTTAAATTTTGAGAGCTTATGGTTGTCATAAATTAAATTAGTTATCTCTAATTTAGCCCCGTTTTCTTGAATTTCCGTTCCGCCAATGGTTAGCGAAGTTTCAGAATTCACAAGCTACGGTAACCCGCTTTTTAGTGTTCCATCCACTCACTCGGGCAACCTAAACGCCCCGGCCACGTGAAAAGATGTCGGTGGGCCTGGTGGCGTTGCGGAGAAATGATCGGATCACCCGGGAGGATGCCGATGAAAAGACCAAATATTGGGATGACTATCCCACCAGGTACGACTGAAATTAACAGTCAAAACTAGCGCGTGTTTTGTTCAGGAACTACGTGGACCGAGCACGGGCCCAGAATGCGTATTCAGAGTTTTTGGGTGATGTGAGTTTCCTTAATTCTCTCTCCCAACCGTCTCTCTCGCCATCTCTCTCTCACTCACTCACTCTATCTCTCAATCTCTCCCTCTCTCTCTCATTCTCTCTCACTCCCTTTCACTTACTCACGCTCTCTCACTTTCTCTCTCTTTCTTTCTCTCTCTCTCTCTCTACTCTCTCTTTCCGTTCCATACCTTTACACCTTCATACCATCCTTCCAGGTGTTCCAAAAGCCAAAAGCCCTCGGCCGCTCAGCCTCCCTGGTCAACCTGACCTATGTACGCGAGACTCCGTCTGAATTCCCGTGCTTGAAGCGGACATCCACGTACTCCTCTCTCGCCCCATCACTCTCCCTTCCACAGGTGACCCCCTTAACCGATTAAAAACCGCACCAAACCGCCAAAAATAATCTCTAAGACTACACCATTATCCTAAACTATGCCCCAATTACAGTACGACCGTGAAGCACAGCGGATAGTGCATACCGAGAAGGTGTACAAACCCCACTACAGCCAATGGTACAACAATGCCTATTCGTCGGCCAGATATGGGGTAAGTGGCCGTCAGGAGTACATAAATATGGAATGCTAATTAGGATACGCACAGGGCCGTTGAACGCCCCTACCGTAACGTGACGGCCGATATTCCGCGTGTGCAGACCCATGTGCCGTTCTTCACCTTCCAGGCCAAGCGAATCTTCCACGATCAGGTAGGGTTATTCTGCCTGACTCTCTGCCTTTCTATCACTGAAAATCGCAGTCTCTCTCTCTTTTTCGCTCTCTATCTCTTTCTCTCTCTCTCTCTCTCTCTCTCTCTCTCTCTCTCTCTTTCTCTCTCTCTCTCTCCCCTCTCTGTCTCTCTCTCGCTCGCTCTCTGTCTCTCTCGCTCTCTTTGTCGCTCGCCCTCTTCATCGCTCTCTCGCTCTCTCTTTCTCTGGCTGTCTCTCGTACGCGCTCTCTCACGCTTCTTCTCGCTGTTTGTCTTTATCTCTCGCTATCCCTCTGTCTCTCTCATACACCACTCTCACACACTATCTATCTCCCAGGCTTCACAAGCTCTTCTTTTCAGCGAGAAGCCTGGAACAGATCGTACCTCCATGGCTCGCAGGCGTACCTCGACCGCTACGTATCCTCCCGACTCCGCGCCGACGATTTTGCCAATCGATTTGCGTACAGGTGCGGCACCAATAAGTCGTTTGGGGGCTTGTCGATATTCCGCTTTGCACCTAATTTCACCTAATATCCCATTTTTCAGCGCCTACGAGTGGCGAAAACCGTCGTCGGACGCCTTCAACCGACACCCAATGTATGACCATGTAAGTGACGTAATTTGTTGCAACTTAGAACCGTGGCTTGATAGCTTGAAGGCCTCATAATCCATTAGGCGATGGAATTCGGGAAGTGAACGTCGCGTGTGTCTCTTTCCCTTTAAAAATTCCCATCCCTCATTTCCAGAACGTGCACGTGACGTTCGCCCCGGGCATCCCGAACTTCTACGAGAAGCAGGCGATGCGCCGCATGTACAAGGCCACCGGAAGACTGTATTTCTAAGCCTATCGTTCGATATTTCTCCCCATATCCCATTGCCTGCCATTAATGCGCGAACTCGGTGCTTATCAACATACAAAGGTGGCTGAATAAACGGTTACGCCATGAAATTTGTATTGGACACATCAGAGGAGAAGCTGCGTCAAGTCTACCCAGGCTTAACCCGAAGCCTAAGCCTAACCTAAGCTTAACTAAGCTTAGGTTCAAGCTCCGCCTAAGCCTAAGCTTCACCTAAGCCTAAGCCTAACAAGGAAACCTCCCCAGCTCGAAGTTGGACTTCGATTAGCCATATAGCCTATCTGATGCAGTTTTTCACGCTGATAACGATACCGATATTTATTTTTGCCGAGCGCCACAGGAACATTGTTAAAAATCGATTTAAAGTTTTGTCATTTTGGCAGTCCCGCCTCAAAGCCCCTCCCCACGGGGAAAGATCCATCGGCGGCGTGGTGTAGTCGGCAAGTACTTGGCCTACCAATCTAGACATCGCTAGTTCGAGTCTTGCCGCTGACGACTTTTTTGCTTTTTTGCTTCAAAAGGGCTGTGAAGGTCCTACAACTCATCAAGAAAAGTGTTTTTAAGTTTTTTTTTTCACTTTTGGTCGCAAATTCAGGTAGTTATGGCTACAACGAACCACAAGCCTCGATACGATCCTCATGTTTTATGACCTCAAAACGCTTACCTTGGTGCAGAAATGAAGCTTGACATTAGATGTAAAAAAAACTTAAGGACAGAACCTAGTATTTCCTTCCCCTTTTTTTCAAAAAGTTTTCAAAAGAGTGGCTGGTGCATTAACTAGTTGGTGATCCACCGATAATTCCAAATGTTTTCGGCGGAAAAACAGTCTTTCCGAGAAATCGAATCCAGCAACTTGAATTGGTGACCGAAAGTTCAAAAAAACTTAAAGCCATTTTTCTTGATGACTTATAGGACCTTCACAGCACTTTTTAAGCAAAAAGCAAAAAAGTCGTCAGCGGCAAGACTCGAACTAGCGACCTCTAGATCGGTAGGCCAAGTACTTGCCGATTACACCACGCCGCCGATGGATCCTTCCCCGTGGAGAGGGGCTTTGAGGCGGGACTGCCAAAATGACAAAACTTTAAATCGATTTTTAACAATGTTCCTTTGGCGCTCGGCAAAAATAAATGGCTCTGTACCGATAGCACGGGGCAATGACAACAGAACGGGGCATTGGCAACAGAACGGGGCAATGACAGCAGAACGGGGCAAAGCCAGCAGAACGGGGCAATGGCAGCAGAACGGGGCATAGCCAGCAGAATGGGGCATTGCCAAGTCCCCGCGGCCGGCGGCCAGCAGAACGGGGCATTGGTTTGGCCAGGGGGGCCGGCGGCCAGCAGAACGGGGCATTGGTTTGGCCAGGGGGGCCGGCGGCCAGCAGGACGGGGCATTGCATATTTTCTCAAAAAAAACGTATTTTTATGGTCTCTCGCCTATTCTTTCTCTGATTATATTTTTTTGATTCACAGAAGTGTTTGTCAACCAGGCCGAACGTTTCTAACTAAGGAAGTCCAAAATACCCGCGCAACACGGATCGGGCTGAGAATTTGTACATTTATAGATGCGACCACGCTGATAATCGCCTCGATTTCCGACTGCTACAGAGCCTGAAAATTTGAGATATTAAAGTTTCGGTGTCATTTTTGGGACCCCGGAAAAGGGTTTGTCAGGATATCGAACTTTTTTTCTCTGTATTTTTCTAGTTATTTGAACTAGCCTAACTGATGGAGTTTTTTTCTGATTTTTCTGATTGATTGGTTTATTTCAGTAATGCACGAAGGCCTATGCGCTATCCTAAGCTGCTTGAATTAGGCTGTTTTCTACCATTTCCATAGTAAATTCGGAGTCCATACCAAGTATCGTCGATTTTTTCTGTAACCTATCATCAGAGAAAAAATATGCGAGAGACCATAAAAATACGTTTTTTTTTTGAGAAAATATGCAATGCCCCGTCCTGCTGGCCGCCGGCCCCCCTGGCCAAACCAATGCCCCGTTCTGCTGGCCGCCGGCCGCGGGGACTTGGCAATGCCCCATTCTGCTGGCTATGCCCCGTTCTGCTGCCATTGCCCCGTTCTGCTGGCTTTGCCCCGTTCTGCTGTCATTGCCCCGTTCTGTTGCCAATGCCCCGTTCTGTTGTCAATGCCCCGTTCTGTTGTCATTGCCCCGTGCTATCGGTACAGAGCCAAATAAATATCGGTATCGTTATCAGCGTGAAAAACTGCATCAGATAGGCTATATGGCTAATCGAAGTCCAACTTCGAGCTGGGGAGGTTTCCTTGTAAGCCTAAACCTAAGCCTAGCCCACGCCTAAGCGTCAGCCTAAGCCTAAGCCTAAGCTTAAGCCTGACCTAAGCCTAAGCCTACCCATTCTCTCTGGTAAGTCAAAAACCGCAACCCCCAAATTTTAGGGAAAAATCTTTTTAATCCGCATACTCCTCGGCATAAAAATGAATAAATATTTATTCGACTAAAAATAATAAAGCTATACATGTACAACAAAAACGAAAATAAATAAACATAGCGACTAGATAAATATGGGAAATATAATAAAAAGTATAAAAATCATCGAGGACCCACAAACTAACATGGCACGGGGTTGGGAGGGCGCATCATTTTTGCGGCTTCTTCAATTTAATGGTTTTTAATAATCCAAGGAGGAAATTTTATAATGTAATGGTCTAAGTAATTTAGCATTAAACAAAATTGAAGAAATCGTTCTGAAAAGCGAAACGTCAAAGAGAACAAAGACATTCACCCGGGTTGCTTGCTAGAAAATGGGAATTTGGAACCGGGGGAAGACGAGGATTTTTAAGGTATGGAATGATGCATTAATAGGGTTGATCGGGACGGATTAAAGGGACAAGCAAGACATGCCGTGGATACGGATTACCGCGCCGCGACACGCAACGGACCCTTGTAAGACCATTGCGATAGACACCGAAAACTCGGCTGTGGTTCGGTTTACCAATCCTCCCCCCCCCCACCCCCCAGCCAACCCACACCTACCGTATCTCGGCTCCCTGTTCATCTACAGGTGTGTAAAGTATACCAAAATACTCGCTAGAGCAAGGCGAATATTTTGGAATACCTGAGACACCTGTAGATGAACAGGCGGCCGAGATACAAAGGTTGGGTGCCGGCCGGGGGGGTAACCTGAACTCTTACCGAAAACTCGGCGGGCGCGTTGCGTGTAGCGATGCGGAAAAACCAAGAAGCAAAAACCCACCGCTATGCCTTTCCAGTCCCTTTAAAGCCCAATTTCAGGGATTAGGACGTATACACCTCTTTACGCAGTGCCGCCGGCGTTCATAGGTGTATTCGTACAACTCCCGGAACGCGCGATTTAAGAAAAGGAATCATTGAGGATTGGGAGGGAGAAAAAAACATAAATGACAGAGCGTAATCATTGCTTAAATGCGGGAAGTCCCCATATTAAATGTCGTAGTCGTAAAGACCCCCTTTAGCCGGGCGTCTGCTCGATGGCCGCATACGAATTGTTGATGGCGTGCTGGGGATGCAGATGTGAACTCTCTGAGAAGGTGGGGTTCGCTTTTCCTCCCGCACCTCCACCGTTCTCCCCTGGTAGACCGTTCGTCTGAAATCGGCAATTAAACGGCGGCAAAACCAAGCCTTTGATTCTGGCGTGGTTCAGAAATTGAGAAAATCTGACATCGAATAAGTCGGTACTGGACTGTTAGCGGGGGGAACTTGGCAGGGAAAAATTAGTTTTGCTTTCCCCCGATATTTAGCCTATTTTTATGGTATTTTTAAAGTTTTGGGTAACTAGAAAGTTATAAAATGATCTTAGGAAATTTAGACGATTCGAAAATCTTGGCTTTTTAATACATTGTTGACAAAAAAATCAAATATTATCGAAATTTGTATAATTTTAATAAGGTTTTTTTGGAAAATATTAGTTCTGCCCCAGCTAACCCCCCCACGCTAACAGTCCAGTGCCCAACTTCTTTTGGTGAAAATGTTGAAAAATTTGGTAAGCGGAAAACATTACGACGCATCTTTAAAATCGCTGCTAAAACCCAAAGAAAAGATAGACAGTTCCTAACGATTAGACAACGGCAGTACGGAAAATACTAGTGACACCTGGCCAAAATGCCCAAAATTATAGATATAAATATGTAAATCGACGGACCTTGGCGAAGAGCAGCGTCTCGCTGCTCACGTTGAATGAAACGTCCGACCGGAGTGCGATACGCTCCTATAAACACACCGTGGCTATCGGCAATCAGCATGCTTTTAATTAAGATACGTTGTCTTTTTGTATGCCAGGAAACCATCGAAAATGGGTCGCACAAAATTCGCTTCATGGCCCTCCTAAAGGCTTCTTCATATCACTACATCATTAATGCTAGAATATACCCAAAAACGCGTTCAAATTCCGGCATGCTACGATCGTTTCGATGCGGGGGAGAAAAGAGAGGCAAACCATGGTCAACTAGTGAACCTACCGGCGGCACATTAACGACACATCCCAGGAAATCCATCTCCGGTTGTAGTCGACCACTTCGGAACAGCCAGATCGAGATTTTGGAGACCTGGAAAGGGTATGTTTAGCTTGAAGTTTGGCTGTGATTGTTTTTTACGGTATCGTAGCCTGCCACCCGAATCCCGATATGGGCAATTCTGTCAGGGAAAATGTCGACAAGACAATATCCCGAGATTTGTCGCATCGACAGGCCAATATCCCGGCAGCCAGAATCCCGAAAACGCAAACAAGTAGTAGGTCCGGAAGGTAAGACTTTACGTTACCCCCACCTCCCACAGCCAATGGGTCTCAAAGTTTTCGGTATTATCGCTTATTTTGTCGGGATTTTTGCAACGCCATTCGATAGAGCGTCGAAAAATATACTAAGAGTTTTAATTTGTAATGATTTGTAATTTAATAATGTAAAATAAAAAGTTATAGCCAAAACATTCCGGCTGGGGGGGGGGGGCTAAGGTAAAGTTTAGCCGCCCGGAAGTTGGAGAGGGTATTTTGTCTAGCCGAATTTTCAAGTCTTGCCATATTGTTCCTGTCCCTTTACACGAGATACTAGAGTTTACACACAACGCAACCGCACGCAACGCAGCCACAATCATCCAACCACTCTCCCCACCCACCGAGTACAACGTGGCCAACGTCGACAACATGGCCATGGTCCGGAACGGGAAATACTGCTTCTCCTCCGCCTCGTCGTACATTGGATAGTGGACGAAGGCGGGAAGGCCGACAAGTGTCTCACCGCCCGATATTCGCAGGATGAAGCCCACTAAAAATTAATTTAGTCTGTAACTTGATGGAGAAGCACAATTTCTTAAGTACTACCCACCAAAATACCCAGCCAAACAGCCATACGTATTCGAATCGGTCATGTAGACGACGCAGAGGAGTTGTGGAAACAAGATGACATACACCAGATCGGCACATAGATACCTGAAAAGATAGAGAATGATAGATTGAGGGTGACAGAGAGAGGATGGGGGGGGGCAGAGAAAAAGAGATATTTGCTCACCATAATCCGTAGATACTATGAATGGTGAGTGCCATCACTGTCGCCATGATGCCCACGACAATGATTGAGAATCGCATCACGATAATTACTTCGCGTTCGGAGGCCTGCAAGTGGCTGGGTAGAGAGCGAGAGAGAGAGTGTGCGAGAGAGAGCGAGAGATCGAGTGAGATGGAGGGAGAGAGTGAGAGCGAGAGTGAGAGAGAGGGAGAGAGACCTCGAGTGAGATGGAGGGCGAGAGTGTGAGCGAGAGTGAGAGAGAGGGAGAGAGAGAAAGAGAGTGCGAGAGAGAGAGTAACTCACATGCGGCCGAATCGTCAATTTCCAGATATTATGGGCAAACATCGATGCGGCTGATAAAACGGATGAATCAGCAGATGACATCACGGCTGCCGAAACGGCACCAAGTCCTGAATTTTGAGGTGTCTTTAGGGATTTGGCGTAGTTTCAAGCATCGTGCTCCACGAAATAAATTATTTCTAAGCGGCAGTCCAAGCCTGATTGGCTGACACCACGTAAGCACGAGGCCACGCTAAGCCGAAACCTAAGCAAAGCCTAAGCCCTAAGCGCGAAGCTAAGCCTAAGTCTATGCAAGATCCTAGCCGAATGCGAAGCATAAAACAAAACTGAAACCTAGAAGAAAGTCAAGGCTAATTTTAAGCCTACAGTCTAAGCCTGAGCCAAAGCCAAAGCTCGAGCCTCCAAAGTCAAAGTGAAGCCAAGCTTTAGTCCCTTGACTTAAGCTAATCCTAAGGTTATCTTAACAACGAATTAAAGCCTAAACTCGAAAAACCCGAAGACCCACCGACAAAAGAGACCCATCGAGGCGTGAGGTATTGGAAGACGATTGGCACGACCATATTCCGGTATTCAGGTGGAATCACCTTCACCACGGTCCCATTATTCCACGGCGAATATTCCGTGAGGCTCCAATCTACAGTATCAAATTCTCGACGAGCAGCCACAAAAAATACCTGTATTCCTGGCAATGGCCCCAATAATGGCCGGCGGGATGGCCATCAAAATACAGCCAACCCCGGCGACGAATGACAGCATTCGTGCACCTTGTGATGTTTTTGAAGACAGTACCCGTTGGAAGTACACCTGGATACGGTATCAGCGGTTATCATACCATACTGATGGTACGGTACCTGCCAGGGGATCCCGCCAAAGACGAGGAGAAGCATACAATCCCACCACAGAGCCCATTCACGAAATCCGCCAACGTCTCCTGAAATCAGCACGTTATAGAAGTAGTGATATTCGATAATTCGCTGTAAAGGGGTTAGGAAGTC